CGCCTGTAGTTCCAGCTACTTGGAAGGCTGAGACGGAAGGATCCCCGAAGCCCAGCAGGTCGATGCTGGGGTGGCCGTGAGCCTGCCACTGCCCTCAACCTGGGCAACAGAGTGAGACCCCAACTCAAAAACAAACAGTCCTTCTGCCTTTTTTATTGTTGTTCTTACAACAAAGTCATACTCTACGTGATGTTCTGCAGACTGCATAGTTTAGTTGGCTCGACTGCTGTAAAGACAAAAGCTATCATTCAACCTCTCTTCACACTGCCCGTTTATCTTAGAAAACCAGTGTGAGCGCTCCTGTGACAGGTCCTCCTTGCCCGGCCATGCCTGAGACCCTCTGCCGCCTCTCTTGTCCAGCCTGCTCTGGTTCTCTTCTCCTCCCTAGTGCCCTTTTTACTAACACAGTGAACTGAACGCCTCACACACTCTTTGCCATCGGGCCTCCAACAGTGAACCCACTTCCTGCTCTGCTTTCGTCTGTTCCCCCAGAACGCCCTCGCACTGAAACCAGCAGACCCTTTCCTCACCAGGCTCATCTGTCATCCTCACCTTGAAAATCTCCTTCTCTTTCCTGGCCAACGTAACTGGACCCTCCTCAGTTCTCCAGGGACATCATGTACAACTCTCTGGCATTTTCTACACGGTCCTGAGGGTCTTGGTTTTCTATGGTCTTTGTCACAGACCACATTATGAACTTCTGAGGTCCGAGGGGCCTCTTTCACTTACACCCCAGCACCTGGATCGTGGCACATTGTAGTTGAAAATCTGAGTGGCCCTCCTTAGTACCATTGTTACTGAAATGTTTGTTAAAATGCGTGAATGAATGGTTGAATGAAGCTTAGAAGAGACTGCGAATGCTTAGGCAGTGAACTCTTGATTAACTCTGGGAAAAGCAATGCTGTGAATAATTTAATTTTATGGTGAAAGAAAAGCCAAGCAAGGATTATTTCGGGAAAAGTTGTCAAGACGCACTTATGCTCACCTCTGTCAGCTCTAGTTCCTTCAATGCTCCTCTGGCTGATAAAGTGTGATCTTGAAGGGGTGATTTCTCAGGAATTCTCACCTATTTCTATCATCATCTCTTGTGCCAAGCTGTTTCCTTCTGGTCTTTAGATAAACAAAGCTCCTTCCTGCTTTGAGTCCGGATGGACTATTCCTGAAGACTGTGGTTCCAGTTGAAAGATGGGATGTTTATCCTTGTGTATATTTATTTTCATTCTTAGACCACTGGGTTGAGGAGAAGGCTGGTTCACTGCCCTAGGTTGGGTTTTCTGGAAGCAAAGGTTAAGACAGATTTGGGTGGGATAAGATGTTTATTAGGGATGGTCGTCTGTGAAAGGAAGGAGGAGGAAGTAGAGCTGGGCAGAGGGAAAAGTGTCCTGCAACACCCTGGCCAGCCCAGCAGAGTGCCCTGGAGTGATGTCACCCATCAGAGGCCTAAGTCACCAGGTGCCCTGGGAGCGGCATTGCCAAGGACTCTATGCAGCTGAGGCAGGCACTAGAGGAGCTGGCAGCTGGAGGGTCTCTGCTGACCTCACTCTGTCCTTAAGGGGGACTCTGGGCCATGGCCATCACCATCTCTATCATACTCCAAGCAATCGCTGTAACCTGTTGGTTCCTGCTCCCCCAAACCGCTTGTGTCTCCCTCTGTTTCTGCATCCCAGTTTCCAATACCTTAATGAAGGCCCTCATCTTTTCTCTTTTTGATTACTGAACTAACTAGCTGCACAGCTGTTTTCCCTAACCCCAGTCTCTCCTCTGCTATAATGCTGTCAGAGAGCAAATCTAATCACCTTCCTCCCAGACTCATGCTCCTGCAGCGGGCTTCCTGGTTAACTTCAAACACTTGAGTATGGATTACAGGGTCCTGCATGCACTGCCTCCACCTGCCTCTCCAGCCTCCTCTGTCTCCCCTACCCTGCTCCCTGGCAATTCCCACCCTGGCTTATGTTCCAGTTTACCTTCCCCCTTTGGATAGTTGCCTTCTCCCTTTGTCTTGACTTTGTCCAAGATGCTTCCTCTGCTGAGAAAGCTTCCTGTGGTCCTACAGCATATGACTAGACTCCAGGTCTCCTGCCTGCATGCCCAGGACTCTGTCTGTGCCTCACAGTGGTCTGCAGCATCATGCTCTGAGTCCAGAGGACACAGAATCAAATTAAGCTCCTTTACCAGCTAAGATTTCTTTCTAAATGACTATAGAGAAGACTTGGAAGAGTGCCCCACCCTGGGAATCCTCCTTCTGTCTAGAACCTTTTTTAATGAAAATTACAGCTTTTATGTTTGTGGATATTGGGGATGAAAGTGGAGCAGAATTTCCATTTTGACTCTACTATGGAAGAAGCTAACCCCTTAAAAAAAAAAAATTCAATTTAGTGGGCAAGATTTCCAAAGGGTGCTCCTTTGTTTATTTATTTATTTATTTTTTGAGTCCAAGTCTCACTCTGTCGCCCAGACGGGAGTGCAGTGGCCGCTCCCGGCCACTGCAGCCTCGACCTGCTGGGCTCCGGTGATCTTTCCACCTCAGCCTTCCAAGTAGCTGGAACTACAGGCGCGCGCTACCATGCCTGGCTAACTTTTGATTTATTGTGGAGATTAGGTCTCGCCAAATTGCCCAGGCGGGTCTCGAACCCGTGGGCTCAGGCATTTCACTCACCTCGGCCTCCCAAGGCGTGGGATTAAAGGCTGAGCCACCAACCCGGCCGGGTGCTACTTTTTAGACATACATAATGCTTGTTCTAAAAATACTTCTTTTGATCTCTTGATTCATTCAGAACACGTTTTTAAACAACATGTGCAAAAGGTAGTGTGATGACTAAGAGCACAGATTGTGGTATCATCAGTCAAAGTAGAATCCATGGCCTGTCTCCAGCTCAAAAGCTGTGGGACTGTGGGGACCTTATTTTTCCTCTGTAAACCTCAGTTTCTCCATCCACCTGTGAAATACGGACAGTCTCAGTATTATTGTTCCCTTCACAGGAGGTTATTTTGAAAATAAAGTAAGAAAATGCGTGATATGTGTCCTAAGCACAATCCCTGCCACGGAAGTACTTAGTAAATGGGAATAATGACTCTTGTGTCTTAGATACTAGACATAGTGACAATTAAGATACTGTCCAGAGCCAAGCCATCAGAGCCAATGGCACTGCTCTCTTCCAGGTTTCTGCTACTCTGGCATTCAAAACTCACTAGAGGTTTTCCGACTTTCTGCCCATGATTTGAGCATCTTAACCTCATCCTCCAGAACAGCACTATCCAATAGAAATATACCGTATATAATTAAAAACTCTCCAGTAGCCATATTAAAGTAGATGAAATTAACTCTAATGTATCTTATTTAACTTCAGATATACAAACTGTCATCATAACATAACTGCTAAAAAAAATTATTGCACTATTTTACACTTGTTTTCCAGAGTAAATCTTTGGCACCTGGTGTGTATTTTCCACTTAATATGTCTTAATTCAGATATTTAATTTTCACTGGAAATATCTGATTTAGAGTTCTTAAATTAATTTTGAAAAAGTAGATTTGTATACTCAAGTGGTTCCAAACATACTTAAAAGTTGTTCAGTAACTAAATTGAGTATTCATTTATAAATGGAAATTAAATACAATGAAAAATTTAGCCCCTGAGTTACTCTAGCATGCTTCAAGTGCTCAGTCCACATGTGGCTGTTTGCCACCATGTTGGACAGTGACGCTCTAGAAGCCACTGCGGTGGTTTCTGTCTTCCACTTTTTAGCTATCCTTTCTTTTTTTCATATTCAATTATAGATAGAAGCTCTTTGCTTAAAGTGGATGAAAATGGTGTTGTGGAGGTGCTTTGTTTCCATTCAGACACTCAATTTTAGAGGACATAGATTGAGCTGTTTTCCCTCTGACCCACCTCCCAACCTCTACCCTCACCTCTGCCTGCAGAGATCCCGTAGCACCTCTGTCCAGGCCTGGAGCTCCATGGAGCAATTAACAGGTAGCATCTTGGCTCCCAGCAAATTGCTGACCATGCATTCAGAGTCATAGAATCTTGAGGCCCAAAGGGATAGCATATATATGGGTCAACTCTTAGGCCCTCTCTTCAGTGCAAAAATACCTATAAAATTCCTGGGGTTGGAGTGAACAGTAGGAAAAGGCTAAGAGCAGTTGGATCATTTCATTCTTTCTGGCTTATGTGGTTCTCTGTGTCCTTATCTTGTCTTCTTAACTAGGTTGGGGGCAAGGACTGCTTTTTACAACCCCACAGCACCCACATGAAACAAGACAATCAATAAATTCTTAACTGAAGGCCTGACTGATTGCAAGAATCCAAGGTCACTTGAAATATCAGGGTCACTGCATTGCACAATGCCAAAGAACATCTTTCAGATTGTATTTTATGGTTGTGCAAGTAGCAGCCTTGTAGGTTTAGACTGGAGTTTCTTTTCCAGCTGAGAAAAGCTTTTAACAAATTTTTTATTGGTACCAAACACTTCCTCCCTTATCCTATGACAGGAAGCAAAGACAAGAGTTAAGTTTCCTTGACTCCCTTAGGGATATATGCTTATCAGGGAGTGTATATGGATGTGTGAACGTGTGTGTGTGTGTGTGTGTGTGTGTGTGTGTGTGTGTGTGTGTGTGTGTGCAAGGCAAGGCAGGCTGGAAGGCTGGTAGAGCTGTTGTTAGCAAGCCCACTTGGAACAGTTTGAGCATCTCACCTGGCCTTCTGTGTTTGTATTCCTTTTGGAATTTCCCATGAATGGAATCTTTCTCTGGTTTGAATGATGCCTTAGAGATCCTGGCTTTGTGAAGAACCCCAGAGCAAGACCCACAGTTACCAAGCACATAAACTCAAGTCACCAAATGAGAAAAAAGACTTCATGGCCTTGTGTTTTTTATCTGTTTGAAGTTGAGAAAATGCAGAGAAGGAGAAGGGAGGAAGGAGTTTCTCTTCAGGAAAGCCTCTGTTTGTTTCCGTGTTTTTCAAACTGATGAATGTTTGTTTTTCTTCATGTCTCCCCAGGAAACCAAGTGCTACCTCCTGGAGCTTCTCTGGGAAATGGGCTCACACCAGAGGCAGCAAAAGACCTTGGCCTTCCCCCTGGGACTGCGGTCGCAGCCTCACTCATTGATGCCCATGCAGGAGGACTAGGTAATCTCCCTTTTCAGTTGAGAATGTTCCCCAGAACCTACGGCATCCCTTTTCTGTTTTTAAAGTAAAGGTTAAGGACTGGTATTTCAAAATATGATAACAAAAACCCTTTTTTGCAGTTAAACATGTGGATAGAATTATAGAACTTTTCATCTATTTATAAAGAATTTATTCATAATATTATTAATTTCTCCATACATGATCATTGAAAAAATTGATTTGAATAAATTTCTGAATGATTCTTTGGTTTACTGAAAATTTGAAGAAAATGTGTTAATTTCTAACTGCTGTACTTACCTATTTTTTTTCTAATGAGACTCCAAAACCCTTATAAAGTCTAAAGATTTATTTTCATAATATATTTGGCTTATGTCCTGGCTCCAATTCCTTGGCTGTAATCTTGAGTTCATCTCCTATGTAACTCTTAAACCTGTCATTCATGCATTCATTCATTCATTCATCAAATACACGTTGAGCACTGACCATGTCCAGGAAAGGTTCTAGGGGCCAGTGAATTTAAAACAAAACAAAAGAAAACTTGCCCAGATTTTAATGGAAAAGCACAGAATGAAAGAAAGAATTAATTACAGTAAAGTCTGATAACTGTCCTCTTCATCCTTCTTGCAGTTTGTGTGTGTGTTGGTAGTTCTGATTCTCAGTCTCTCTTACTTCAGCTGTAGCCATATATTTTCCCCTAGGCTTTCGTTCTAACAGTGTTTAGTGTTAAGCTGTGGTTCATAGTTCGTAAGATCAATTTACAGGACACGGACATTGAATTTGCAGAACAAATGGAATGGAATGGAATAGAACTAAGTAGAAAACATGAGAATACGTTTCACGTGGAAAGTGAGCACTGCTTCATGGAGCTGTTCCCATTCCACGTGTATGTGCATGTGCATATTAGGCTTGATGAACATTTTTTTACTGTGGCTCGTGATTTAAAAACTTAGATGGATATTCTGGTTCATACTTCATCTTACAGCCGAAGTTATCTTTCAGATACTTACGTTGATTGTGCCCCTGGAACTCTGTCCAGAGAACACACATGTCCTCTGCCCAGAATGATTGGTCCTCCACTTGTTCAGCTGGCTAACTCCTCCTCTAACTGGAAGACCCATATCAGATGCTTTATCTTCTGCTTAGCCTTCCGTGAAACACTGAGACACATTTAGAAATTCTCTAAATTGTGCCTATTTCAGCAAACTATTTGAAGAAATGATTACAGTGTATTATAATTTCTGATTTATCTGCTTGTCTTTTCCACTAGACTGTGAACTCCTTGAGAACAGGGGCATTATATTATTGTTCTCCTTTCCTTCACGCCAAGCCCTGTGTCTGGGTCTTATTGGTGCTTGATGAGTTTAATTTTTTTTTATTTTTTTTTACTTTTTTTTTTTTTTGAGTTAGAGTCTCACTCTGTCGCCCAGACTGGAATGCAGTGGCTGCTCCTGGCCACCGAAGCCTTGACCTGCTGGACTCCGGCGATCCTTCCGCCTCAGCCTTCCAAGGAGCTGGAATTACAGGCATGCACTACCACGCCCGGCTGATTTTTTGATTTCTTGTAGAGATAAGGTCTCGCTGCCCAGGCGGGTCTCGAACCCGCAGGCTCAGGCAATCCACTCACCTCAGCCTCCCAAAGGCGCGGGATTACAGCTTGATGAGTTTATTAAATAAATAGTCACATTAAGGCAAGAATAAGGTGAGATGGCTTTAAACTGTAGAGTGAATGTCTGTTTCCTTATGCAGCAGGTTATTAAATGGTCTCTTATTCTACACAGTACATGGACTTCCAGAAACAGGATAACTCTCAACGATCTATGAACATGTCTTCCCTATTCATCGCTATGTCCTCAGGATCTAACACAGTGCCTGAGAATTGGTAAATAACTAGTAATACATGTAAGTTGGTTGAATGGTATGTAATGTAGTTTTAATTATAGTCAAGGATATTTCTCACCAAAGACTTTTCATTGTGAGCAGTGTGTGCTTTAGATGGGGATGCCGTTATTTTGTTTTGGTTTTTTTTTTTTGAGTTGGAGTCTTACTCCATCACCCAGGCTGGAGTATGGTAGCACAGTCACGGCCACCCCAGCTTCGACCTTCTGGGCTCCGGTGCTCCTTCTGCCTCAGCCTTCCAAGTAGCTTTGAACTACTGGCACGCACTACCACATCCAGCTATTTTTTAATTTATTGTAGAGATGAGATCTCACCAAGTTGCCTGGGCTAGTCTTGAACCCGTGGGCTCAGGCAATCCGCTTGCCTCGGCCTCCCAAAGTGCTTGGATGACAGGCTGAGCCAGCTTTTAGTTTTTAAGTATAAGCAGAGAAAGAACTTGTGGTCTAGATAGACATGAAGCATTCCTGTCCTCTAGCAATCCTGACATTCCAGATCATGTGTGAGGCCAGGAAACTTTCTCTGTCAAGCTTTTTCAGTTGTCCCTGGGGTGACAGTCTCAGTCATTCACCCCCTACCCAGGTGACAGGCATTTGCTGGGACCACCACATGCTGAAAGAAAGAGGGCTGCCCCATGGGGAGCCACAGACGCCATGGATTCCTTGTCAGTTTTTTAGACCCTTCTCAGGGACATACCAAAACACACCTTATTACTTCTACCCAGGACTTGCTGTGCCCTCCAATGGGAGGACTGCCAAATAACCCCCTTCCTTTTCCTTAACAGAGATGTTCAATGACAAAAATTTTACCTTTAGAGGCTTTGGCTTAGACCCTTTGTTCCCTATAAAGTGCAAATGCTTAGAAGTTAGTAAATTTCCCCTCTATTTTCCAAAGGTAAGTCTTTTAGGTGGAAAGATAGAATAGGACCATGGATTCTTTAAAATCTGAGCTTAGGTATCTTCAGGGGCTGGGAAGGGCCCAGGAAGGGTATTCTCATGAACTGGGGGACAGTATAGACTGACCTGTGCCCTCTTATGCTTCCTCTTCACCTGACAACCAATTCAGGATTAGAACATCTGGGAAAGAGGAGGCCTGGGTGCAAGTGTTCTTTCTCATTTCCCACCCTGTCTGTGCCCCTGGCAGGATGTGGAGAATAGAGGCCCGAAAGCCTTGGAAAGGTCATCCACAGGCCCAACCACATATCCGCTAAAGACATGTATTACCTGCATGCAACCTGTCAGTTATTGGCCTAGGCCCTGGGGATTATCAGCAGTGAACAAATCAGGCAAAGCCCCACTCGTTTTGAAGAAAACATTCTTATTGTTCTCCCCTGGCTTGTGTGTTTGTAGCTTAATAGTACAAAATATTGTAATGCTGTGATAAGGGTACTCAACATGGTATCTGAGGATCTGGATTTAAACTTCCATTCTGTTTACAAATATGGTGCCTCTCAGTGCTTTTGCTTCCTCTTCTGTGGTGAGAGATAGCAGTGTGCAAATAGAGTAGTTGGCAGAGTGTCTGGCACATCGGAGGCATGCAATATTGAGGTGTCTCTCTGGTTTTCTCCCTCTGGGGCCATAATGCCTGACAAGAAGTAGGAGTTTCATAAACAGAAGTTCTGGTAGGATGTGTCCATCAGGAGAGCTGTCTTCCTTTTGGATAGGCATGTGGAGAAGAACCAGAGGCTTCTGGACTCCCTCCGCCTTCCCTGAACCTGGCCTAACTTTCCTTGTCCAGTTCTCTTAACAGAAGACAGGATTTGCCACGTTAAGATTCTCTTTAGGTTGAGGTCAGAAACAGCTTCAAGATCTAGTTCAGTGAATTCTGTGCTAAGACATCCCTAGATGTCAAGTAAGAACCTAGCCTTGGATTCAGAATTGGATACCACCCAGGCCTCTCACAAGCAAACCCCGACAACTGTGGTCCCTTCAAATGCTGTTCGGGCATGACTTCCCTGGACCCCACATTCTGACTGGCAGGGGCGGGAGGGGGTGTCAGCATTCTGCTTTGGAGAAATATCCCTGGACTCTCACTCCCAAGGGGATCCTGGGAAGACAGGGTAAAGATCAAAGAAGCGAGTAAAACGCAACCCATACTTTTTCCAGTTCTGGAAAAAGAGGAGGAAGGACTCCGTGGGAATAAAAATCAACGATAAAAGAACATTTTGTTCTTAAGGTACTGGTTAGTAAGTTCCCCAGCAGACAGTCAAGATAGGAGTAGCTTTGTTTGCAATTTGTGGGGGCGGTTCTGGCCAGGGCTCCTGCTGCTGGTATTTTTTCTAGCTTATAAAAATAACATTAACTTTGTTCCAGGTCTGTTCTTGGCTTCAGCACCCTAACTGTCCTGAAAGGCAATAACAGCCTGATTTCTGTCACAGGCCATTCTCTCAGTTGTTCTTATCTGCCAGACAAACTCCTGATTATCCATTAAATCTTGAATCCTGTGCCCTCTCCTCTGGGAAGCCTCCCCGGACTCCCCCAGGCTAACTTAAGCACTCTTTCCTCTTTGTTAGCACTGTGTTTTATACTTGTAGGTTTGTGTGTGCAGCATTTTCTTATCTACTTATCTGTAAACTCTTTTAGCGCCTTGTTTCATCCTCCTGTCCCAGCAACCTGCACAGTGCTTTGCACAGGGAAGACCCTGAGCAGCTACATATTTAATGAATGAGTGAATGAAATAATGACACTTCCTTCACGAGGGATGAATATTGCAACTGAGAGATATGGTATCCTTTCATTACAGAGGCAGTTGTCCCTATACAGCGGGTATACCTGGCTTAGTTCTCCAGGAGCAAAAGTTTGGGCTCTCCTAGATATCTGGAAATCTCTATTGCTTTTGCACCCATCACATCAGAAGGTTTTGGCCAAGAGCAAACTTCGTGCCTGGGTTTAGCACAATTCTTTGATTACCAATACTGGATTCATTGCCAGATGTTGAATTGGCTTACATTGCTTGTCTGGGCCAGATGTTGAATTGATTTAAATTGTTCATCTGAGTTGCATAGTCAAACCGAAATGAGGATTTTTGAGTTTCTTTTATTTTTAAAGGCAGAAGAATGTATTTAACTAGTCTTGCTAAGAGGGTTTCTGGTTCATGCCCTCCTGGAA